CACTCTGGGAGGAGGACACAACGGAGTTGTCAACCGTGATGGCGAGATCATGGAACGGGCAGTCCTTCCCCGGGAGGAAGAGCAGCTCCGTCTTGCCAAGGTTTAGCTTGAGGTGGTGATCCGTCATCCATACTGATATGTCTGCCAGACATGCAGAGATGCGATTCGCCACCTGGTTATCAGAAGGGGGAAAGGAGAAGAATAGTTGTGTATCGTCAGCGTAGCAATGATAGGAGAGGCCATGTGAGGATATGACAGAGCCAAGTGACTTGGTGTATAGCGAGAATAGGAGAAGGCCTAGAACTGAGCCCTGGGGGACACCAGTGGTGAGAGCACGTGGTGCGGAGGACAGCTTCTCGCCACGCCACTTGGTAGGAGCGACCGGTCAGGTAGGACGCAATCCAAGAGTGAGCCGCGCCGGAGATGCCCAGCTCGGAGAGGGTGGAGAGGAGGATCTGATGGTTCACAGTATCAAAGGCAGCAGACAGGTCTAGAAGGACAAGAGCATAGGAGAGATAGTTAGCTTTAGCAGTGCGGAGAGCCTCCGTGACACAGAGAAGAGCAGTCTCAGTTGAATGACCAGTCTTGAAACCTGACTGGTTTGGATCAAGAAGGTCATTCTGAGAGAGATAGCAAGAGAGTTGGCTAAAGACGGCACGCTCAATAGTTTTGGAAAGAAAAGAAAGAAGGGATACTGGTCTGTAGTTGTTGACATCAGAGGGATCGAGTGTTGGTTTTTTGAGAAGGGGTGCAACTCTCGCTCTCTTGAAGACGGATGGGACATAGCCAGCGGTCAAGGATGAGTTGATCAGCGAGGTGAGGTAGGGGGAGAAGGTCACCGGAGATGGTCTGGAGAAGAGAGGAGGGGATAGGGTCAAGCGGGCAGGTTGTTGGGCGGCCTGCAGTCACAAGTCGCAAGATTTTATCTGGAGAGAGAGGGGAGAAAGAAGTCAAAGCATAGGGTAGGGCAGTGTGAGCAGGACCAGCAGTGTCATTTGACTTAACAAACGAGGATTGGATGTCGTCAACCTTCTTTTCAAAGTGGTTGACGAAGTCATCCACAGAGAGGGAGGAGGGGGGGGGGGGGGGGGGGAAGGATTCAGCAGGGAGGAGAATGTGGCAAATAGCTTCCTAGGGTTAGAGGCAGATGCTTGGAATTTAGAGTGGTAGAAAGTGGCCTTAGCAGCAGAAAACAGATGAAGAAAATGTAGAGAGGAGGGAGTGAAAAAGATTGCCAGGTCCGCAGGGAGTCTAGTTTTCTTCCATTTCCGCTCAGCTACCCGGAGCTCTGTTCTGTGAGCTCGCAATGAGTCATCAAGCCACGGAGCTGGAGGGGAGGACCGAGCCGGCCGGGAGGATAGGGGACATAGAGAGTCAAAGGATGCAGAAAGGGAGGAGAGGAGGGTTGAGGAGGCAGAATCAGGAGATTGGAGGGAGAAGGATTGAGCAGAGGGAAGAGATGATAGGATGGAAGAGGATGAGAGTAGTGGGAGAGAGAGAGTGAAGGTTGCGGCGGCGCATTACCATCTGTGTAGGGGCCAGAGTGAGTAGTGTTGGAGGAGAGCGAGAGAGAAAAGGATACAAAGTAGTGGTTGGAGACATGGAGGGGAGTTGCAGTGAGATTAGTAGAAGAACAGCATCTAGTAAAGATGAGGTCAAGCGTTTTTGCCTGCCTTGTGAGTAGGGGGGGACGGTGAGAGGGTGAGGTCAAAAGAGGAGAGGAGTGGAAAGAAGGAGGCAGAGAGAAATGAGTCAAATGTAGACGTAGGGAGGTTGAAATCCCCCAGAACTGTGAGGGGTGACCCATCCTCAGGAAAGGAACTTATCAAGGCGTCAAGCTCATTGATGAACTCTCCAAGGGAACCTGGAGGGCGATAGATGACAAGGATATTAAGCTTAAATGGGCTAGTGACTGTGACAGCATGGAATTCAAATGAGGAGATAGACAGATGGGTTAGTGGAAAAATTGAGAATGTCCACTTGGGAGAGATGAGGATTCCTGTGCCACCACCCCGCTGACCAGATGCTCTCGGGGTATGCGAGAACACATGGTCAGACGAGGAGAGAGCAGTAGGAGTAGCAGTGTTTTCAGTGGTAATCCATGTTTCAGTGAGCGCCAAGAAGTCGAGGGACTGGAGGGTAGCATAGGCTGGGATGAACTCTGCCTTGTTTGGCAGCAGAACGGCAGTTCCAGAGGCTGCCTGAGACCTGGAACTCCAGGTGGGTGGTGCGTGCAGGGACCACCAGGTTAGAGAGGCAGCAGCCACGCGGTTGTGAGGCGTTTGTGTAGCCTGTGCGGAGAGGAGAGAACAGGGATAGGCAGAGGCATAGTTGACAGGCTGCAGCAAATGGCTACAATAATGCAGAGGAGATCGGAATGAAATGAACTAAACATCTGGGAAAGGAGAGAGTGGGGCCTCCCTCACCACAACTCCCAAATATAACTCTCCCAACTTCCACCTCAGAAACTATAATTATTTCACTGAAACACCCGAATATAACTCTCCCCAACTTCCACTTAGAAATTATAATTGTTGTAAACTACAGCGGTTCAATGTTTCTAGGAATAGACTCTAACTTACTTTATTCAGCTAGCTAACTTGGTACAGTATTCTTCCATGAAAAACCGCCCAGGGCACCGTATATCCTATGACGCCATAGCTAACTAGCATGCTAGCATCCAATAACACACGGTTTTAGCACCAATACTTGGTTACAAACAAACTACCAATAGTGTGTTAACACACTAAACAGATTAATTTGTGTCCGTGTCTAGTTCCTTTCATAACGCAGCAATAATTAAACGTTGGCTAGCTAGCACAAATTCAGTCAGGCTAGCTACACAAGTGGACTACACATCTCGAATGTTTAGAAAGGGAAGCTTTATGTTGCAAAATTCTCATTGACTAAAATTATATTGTATTTAGCTGCTACAGTACTGCTAGCTGGTAGTGTTGGCTAGCTAGCAATGGCTGTGGTGTTGACTTTGTTTGAAAAACGGTGGCGCTGCGAAAGAATGTAGCTGGCTAAAATTATATTGTATTTAGTTGCTACAGTACTGCTAGCTGGTAGTGTTGGCTAGCTAGCAATGGCTGCGGTGTTGACTTTGTTTGAAAAACGGCGTCGCTGCGAACGAATGTAGCTGGCTAAAATTATATTGTATTTAGTTGCTACAGTACTACTAGCTGGTAGCGTTGGCTAGCTAGCAATGGCTGCGGTGTTGACTTTGTTTGAAAAACGGCGTCGCTGCGAACGAATGTAGCTGGCTAAAAGGATATTGTATTTAGTTGCTACAGTACTGCTAGCTGGTAGTGTTGGGCTAGCTAGCAATGGCTGCAGTGTTGACTTTGTTTGAAAAACGGCGTCGCTGCGAACGAATGTAGCTGGCTAGCTAACCTCGATAGTTTCTCTATATACACCTTATCTTTGATACAAATACAACTATGTAGCTAGCTAACCTTTATCTTTGATACCAAATACAACTATGTAGCTAGCTAACATTACACTAATCAAATCATTCCATTGTAATGTAATGTGTCATATTACCTGCGGAGCCGAAGGTTACCGCAGGTAATCGATAGTAGATACTTCGATATGTTAAGAATGTAGGAGATACTCTAATGTTAATGTTAGGAGATTACTCTATTATGTAATCTTAGGATACTCTATTACTGTTAATCTGTTAGGATAACTTATTATCGTTAAACAGTAGTAGTCGTAGATACTCTATTCTGTTAATCTAATTGTAGGAGATACTCATTTGTTAAATTGTAGGAGCTAGTCTATTAATGTTAAATCTGTAGGATAATTACTATATTATATTAACTGTAGGATAGAGTCTATTATGGTTAATCGTAGGAGATTAATCTATATTATCTGTAGGATTACACTTATTATGTTAATCTGTAGGAGATAGTCGATTAATGTTAATTATAGGAATACTTATATTATGGTAATCTGTTAGAGATATAGGCTATATGTTTACTGTAGGAGATACTCTTACGTTAATATGTAGGATCGACTCTATTAGTATCTGTAGGATATATTATATTATGTGAATCGTACGATATATTATTAGGGTAATCTGTGGTAGATGTCTATGTGAATCTGTAGGATATACTCTTATGATGTTAATAGGTAGGAGATACGCTATTATGTTAAAAAGTAGTAGAGACTCTATTATGTTATCTGTTAGGATATACTCTATTATGTTACTTGTAGGAGATTTAACTTCTATTATGTTATCTGGAGTATGAATCTATTATGTTATCTGTAGTAGATACGCGATTATGTTCATATGTAGGATATACTTTATTTATGTGAAGCTGTAGGGAGATACTCTATTAGTTACTATGTAATGGATCTCTTTATGTTAACTGCTAGGATATACTCTATTATGTTAACATGAGGAGATCCTGCTATTATGTAATCTGTAGTAGATAATCTATTATGTTAATCTGTAGTAGATATAGTAGAAGTAGATATCTATTATGTTAATCGGGAGGATATACTTATAATGTAATCTGCAGGAGATTTTTTTCTCAAAGTTTTTTTTTTTTTTGGTAATCGGTAGTAGATACTCTAGTAGTTAATAGAGGTGTAGATACTCTATTCGGTTAATTGTTGAGATACTATATTAGTTAGCTGTAGTAAGATACTATTTAGTTAATGTAGTATATCTATATTATGTTATCGTAGGAGATACTCTATTATGTTAATCTGTAGGAGATACACATTATGTTCATATGTTAGGATATAGTCTTTGTTAATCTTTAGGAATACTCTATGCTGTTAATCTGTAAAATATACTCTATTATGTAATATGTAGAGTTACTATATTTATGTTAATCTGTAGGATATTATGTATTAGGTCATCTGTAATAGCTACTCTATTATGTATAATCTGTAGTAGTTACCTCGATTATTGTTAATCTGTAGGATATTACTCTGATTATGTTAATCTGTAGTAGATACTATATTATGTTAATCTGTAGGATATACTATATTATGTTAATCTGTCGGAGATACTCTATTATGTTAATCTGTAGGATATACTCAATTATGTAAATCTGTAGGAGATACTCTATTATGTTAATCTGTCGGAGAGACTCTATTATGTTAATCTGTAGGATATACTCTATTATGTTAATCTGTAGGAGAGACTCTATTATGTTGATCTTTAGGATATACTCTATTATGTTAATATGTAGGAGATATTCTATTATTTTAATCTGTAGGAGATACTCTATTATGTTAATCTGTAGGAGATAGTCTATAATGTTAATCTGTAGGATATACTATATTATATTAATCTGTAGGATAGAGTCTATTATGTTAATCTGTAGGAGATAATCTATTATGTTAATCTGTAGGATACACTCTATTATGTTAATCTGTAGGAGATACTCTATTATGTTAATCTGTAGGATATACTCTATTATGTTAATCTGTAGGAGATACTCTATTATGTTATAATGGTAGTATTATACTTATTATGTTAATCTGTAGTAGATACGGCGATTATGTTAATCTGTAGGATAGTACTTTATTATGTTTATCTGTAGGAGATCCTCTATTATGTTAATCTGGAATGATATCATATTATGTTAATCTGTAGGGATATACTCTATTATTGTTAACATGTAGGAGATACCTCTATATGTTAATCTGTAGTAGATACTCTATTATGTTAATATGTAGTAGATATCTATTATGTTAATCTGTAGGATTATATATACTAGTATGTTAATCTGTGTAGATACTATATGAGGTAATATGTAGTTATACTATATTATGTTAACGTAGGAGATAATCTTATCTACTATACATGATGTAGTAGATACTATTATGGTATCTGTAGTAGATACTTATTATGTAAAATTGTAGGATATACTCTATTATGTTACTCTGTGGAGATACTCTATTATGTTAATCTGTAGTATATACTCTATTATGTAATCTGTAGTAGATACGCGATTATGTTAATCTGTAGGATAGTACTTATTATTTCATCTGTGGAGATCCTCTATTATGTTTAATCTGTAATGGATACTCTATTATGTTATAATCTGTAGGATATACTCTATTATGTTTTAACATGTAGGAGATACTCTAATATGTTAATCTGTAGTAGATACTTCTATATGTTATATGTAGTAGATCTCTATTATGTTAATCTGTAGGATATCTATATTATGTTTAATTTGTTAGTAGATACTATATTATGTTAATATGTAGTATATACTATATATGTTAATCTGTAGGAGATACTCTATTATCTACTACTAAATCTGTAGTAGATACTATATTATGTTAATATGTAGTATATACTATATTATGTAATCTGTAGGAGATACTCTATTATCTACTTACTAAATCTGTAGTAGATAACTCTATTATGTTAATCTGTAGTAGATACTAATCTATATGTTAATCTGTAGGAGATTACTCTATGATTGTAATCTGTAAGTATATACTCTCTTATGTTAATCTGTAGTAGATACGCGATTTATGTTAATCTGAGGAGATACTTTATTTGTCTCTGTGGGAGATCTCTATTATGTTAATCTTGTACTGGGATACTCTATTATGATTAAGTCCTGGAGGATATACTCTATATGTTAACATGTAGGAGATACTCTAATATGTTAATCTGTAGTAGATACTGATTAGGTTAATAGTCGTAGATACTCTATTATGTTAAATCTGTCGATATACTATTTATGTTAATCGTCATAGTCGATCACTATATTATGGTAATATGTTAGTATATACTATTATGTTATCTGTAGGAGATACTCTATTATTCGACTATAAATCTGTAGTAGATACTTATTTGTTAATATGTAGTTTATTACTATATTATGTAATCTGTAGGAGGAGTTCCTCTATTATCTACTACTAAATCTGTAGTAGATACTCTATTATGTTAATCTGTAGTAGATACTCTATTATGTTAATCTGTAGGATATACTCTATTATGTTAATCTGTAGGAGATACTCTATTATGTTAATCTGTAGTATATACTCTATTATGTTAATCTGTAGTAGATACGCGATTATGTTAATCTGTAGGATATACTTTATTATGTTCATCTGTAGGAGATCCTCTATTATGTTAATCTGTAATGGATACTCTATTATGTTAATCTGTAGGATATACTCTATTATGTTAACATGTAGGAGATACTCTAATATGTTAATCTGTAGTAGATACTCTATTATGTTAATATGTATAGATACCTTATTATGTTAATCTGTAGGATATACTATATTATGTTAATCTGGTAGTAGATACTATATTATGTTAATATGTAGTATATACTATATTATGTTAATCTGTAGGAGATACTCTATTATCTACTACTAAATCTGTAGTAGTACTATATTATGTTAATAGTAGTATATACTATATTATGTTAATATGTAGGAGATACTCTATTATCTACTACTAAATCTGTAGTAGATACTCTATTATGTTAATCTGTAGTAGATACTCTATTATGTTAATCTGTAGGATATACTCTATAATGTTAATCTGTAGGAGATACTCTAATATGTTAATCTGTAGTAGATACTCTATTATGTTAATATGTAGTAGATACTCTATTATGTTAATCTGTAGGATATACTATATTATGTTAATCTGTAGTAGATACTCTATATGTAATATGTAGTATATACTATATTACAGTGGGGGAAAAAAGTATTTAGTCAGCCACCAATTGTGCAAGTTCTCCCACTTAAAAAGATGAGAGAGGCCTGTAATTTTCATCATAGGTACACGTCAACTATGACAGACATAATGAGAAAAAAAAATCCAGAAAATCACATTGTAGGATTTTTAATGAATTTATTTGCAAATTATGGTGGAAAATATGTATTTGGTCAATAACAAAAGTTTCTCAATACTTTGTTATATACCAGGTCAAACGTTTTCTGTAAGTCTTCACAAGGTGTTCACACACTGTTGCTGGTATTTTGGCCCATTCCTCCATGCAGATCTCCTCTAGAGCAGTGATGTTTTGGGGCTGTCGCTGGGCAACACGGACTTTCAACTCCCTTCAAAGATTTTCTATGGGGTTGAGATCTGGAGACTGGCTAGTCCACTCCAGGACCTTGAAATGCTTTTTACGAAGCCACTCCTTCGTTGCCCGGGCGGTGTGTGTTTGGGATCATTGTCATGCTGAAAGACCCAGCCACGTTTCATCTTCAATGCCCTTGCTGATGGAAGGAGGTTTTCACTCAAAATCTCACGATACATGGCCCCATTCATTCTTTCCTTTACACGGATCAGTCGTCCTGGTCCTTTGCAGAAAAACAGCCCCAAAGCATGATGTTTCCACCCCCATGCTTCACAGTAGGTATGGTGTTCTTTGGATGCAACTCAGCATTCTTTGTCCTCCAAACACGACGAGTTGAGTTTTTTACCAGAAAGTTCTATTTTGGTTTCATCTGACCATATGACATTCTCCCAATCCTCTTCTGGATCATCCAAATGCACTCTAGCAAACTTCAGACGGGCCTGGACATGTACTGGCTTAAGCAGGGGGACACGTCTCGCACTGCAGGATTTGAGTCCCTGGCGGCGTAGTGTGTTACTGATGGTAGGCTTTGTTACTTTGGTTCCAGCTCTCTGCAGGTCATTCACTAGGTCCCCCCGTGTGGTTCTGGGATTTTTGCTCACCGTTCTTGTGATCATTTTGACCCCACGGGGTGAGATCTTGCGTGGAGCCCCAGATCGAGGGAGATTATCAGTGGTCTTGTATGTCTTCCATTTCCTAAAAATTTCTCCCACAGTTGATTTCTTCAAACCAAGCTGCTTACCTATTGCAGATTCAGTCTTCCCAGCCTGGTGCAGGTCTACAATTTTGTTTCTGGTGTCCTTTGACAGCTCTTTGGTCTTGGCCATAGTGGAGTTTGGAGTGTGACTGTTTGAGGTTGTGGACAGGTGTCTTTTATACTGATAACAAGTGTCAAGCAGGTGCCATTAATACAGGTAACGAGTGGAGGACAGAGGAGCCTCTTAAAGGAGAAGTTTACAGGTCTGTGAGAGCCAGAAATCTTGCTTGTTTGTAGATGATCAAATACTTATTTTCCACCATAATTTGCAAATAAATTCATAAAAAATCCTACAATGTGATTTTCAGGATTTTTTTTCCCTCATTATGTCTGTCATAGTTGACGTATAACCTATGATGAAAATTACAGGCCTCTCTCATCTTTTTAAGTGGGAGAACTTGCACAATTGGTGGCTGACTAAATACTTTTTTCCCCCACTGTATGTTAATCTGTAGGAGATACTCTATTATGTTAATCTGTAGGAGATACACTATTATGTTAATATGTAGGATATAGGTATATTATGTTAATCTTTAGGAGATACTCTATTATGTTGAATCTTTAGGAGATACTCTATTATGTTAATCTTGTTTAATATTAGGAGATACTTATATGTTAATCTGTAGGTTATACTGTATTTTGTTTAAACTGTAATGATACCTATTATGTTAAACTTAGTAGGTACTCATTATGTTTAAACTGTAGGGTATACTCTATTTTGTTTTCTTTGGGTTACTTATTATTTAATCTGTAGTAGATCTATATTTTGTTATATGTAGGTATATATATATGTTAACTGTCGGAGTACCTTTAGTTTAAACGTAGGGTATACTCAATTATGAAAAACTGTAGGGTTTCTCTATTAAATTTTTTTCGTAGGATAACTTATTATGTTTTAACGTAGAATATCTATTGGTTAATCGTAGGGAAAATCTATTATGTTAATCTGTGGGGAACTCTTTATGTTTTGGGGAATCTTTAAGTTAAACTTAAAAATTTTTTTTTAATTGAGGATATCTATAGTTAATTGGAGATAATTATTTTGTTAATCTGTGGAAACTCATTTTGTTATCTGTAGGGATTAGTCATAAAGTTAATCTTTGGGAAAACTTATTATTTTAATTGTAGGGATATATTATTTTAATCTGTAGGAATTTTTTAAATTTCGTAATTTTGGAAATCAGATCGAGGAATAAATATTTTTAATCGTACGAATTTAAGTTAACGGGGAAGCAGTTTAACTTAGGATAACCCCCATTTTGATCTTAGGAGATACTAATGAAACAGTATAAACTCAAAAGAGGGAAACCCAAACTTAGGAAATACCAAAAAGAAAAGTGTAAAACTCAAACAACGAAGAACCGGGTTGCATTGTAGGAAACTTTTTTTTTAAAGGAGATATCATTAGAACGAAGGGTTTCTCTATTTTGAAACGTGGAATACCTTTTATTTAAATGTAGGGGAACTTATTATGTAAAAACTGTAGTGATACTCTATTAGTTAATTGTGGATACTCTATTAGTTAATCTTAGGTAACTAATTTTGTTTAAATTTAGGGGAAACTCTAAAGTTAATTGTGAATACTCTATTATGTTAATTTAGGATACCATTATGTTTAAACGTAGGAAAACTAATTTTGTTAATCTGTAGTGATTTAATTTTTGGGGAATTGTGATATACTATATTATGTTAATCTGTAGGAATACTTTTATGTTAATCTGTAGGAATACCTATATGTTAAAATTTTAGGATATTATTATGTTAAACTTAGGATATACTTATTTGTTAATCTGTAAGATATTCTATTAGTTAATTGTAGGAATACTTATTATTTAATCTGTTTTGGGGTTATTATTATGTAAACTGTAATAAAACTTATTATGTTTTAAACTGTGAGGTCTCTATTATGTTAAAGTAGGAAACTCTTATGAATCTTTAGGATCCCTTTTTATGTTAAATTTTAGAGATCTTTAAAGTTAACGTAGGGTATACTATATTATTTTAAACTTGGAGAACCTATTATGTTAACTTAGGTATACTCAATTTGAAAAGTAGGAGTATCTATTTTATCGGGAGAACCATTTTGTTAATCTGTAGGAGATATCTATATGTTAATCAGGGAAGTCGAGATATACTATATTAATTAATCTGTAGGATAGAGTCTATTATGTTAATCTGTAGGAGATAATTATTATGTATCTGTAGGATACACTCTATTTATGTTATCTGTAGGAATACTCTATTATGTTAATCTGTAGGATATACTCTATTATTTAATCTGTAGGAGATACTCTATTTATGTTAATCTGTAGTATATACTCTATTATGTTAATCTGTAGTAGATACGCGATTATGTTAATCTGTAGGATATACTTTATTATGTTCATCTGTAGGAGATACTCTATTATGTTAATCTGTAATGGATACTCTATTATGTTAATCTGTAGGATATACTCTATTATGTTAACATGTAGGAGATACTCTAATATGTTAATCTGTAGTAGATACTCTATTATGTTAATATGTAGTAGATACTCTATTATGTTAATCTGTAGGATATACTATATTATGTTAATCTGTAGTAGATACTATATTATGTTAATATGTAGTATATACTATATTATGTTAATCTGTAGGAGATACTCTATTATCTACTACTAAATCTGTAGTAGATACTATATTATGTTAATATGTAGTGTATACTATATTATGTTAATCTGTAGGAGATACTCTATTATCTACTACTAAATCTGTAGTAGATACTCTATTATGTTAATCTGTAGTAGATACTCTATTATGTTAATCTGTAGGATATACTCTATAATGTTAATCTGTAGGAGATACTCTAATATGTTAATCTGTAGTAGATACTCTATTATGTTAATATGTAGTATATACTCTATTATGTTAATCTGTAGGATATACTATATTATGTTAATCTGTAGTAGATACTCTATTATGTTAATATGTAGTATATACTATATTACAGTGGGGGAAAAAAGTATTTAGTCAGCCACCAATTGTGCAAGTTCTCCCACTTAAAAAGATGAGAGAGGCCTGTAATTTTCATCATAGGTACACGTCAACTATGACAGACATAATGAGAAAAAAAAAATCCAGAAAATCACATTGTAGGATTTTTAATGAATTTATTTGCAAATTATGGTGGAAAATATGTATTTGGTCAATAACAAAAGTTTCTCAATACTTTGTTATATACCAGGTCAAACGTTTTCTGTAAGTCTTCACAAGGTGTTCACACACTGTTGCTGGTATTTTGGCCCATTCCTCCATGCAGATCTCCTCTAGAGCAGTGATGTTTTGGGGCTGTCGCTGGGCAACACGGACTTTCAACTCCCTTCAAAGATTTTCTATGGGGTTGAGATCTGGAGACTGGCTAGTCCACTCCAGGACCTTGAAATGCTTTTTACGAAGCCACTCCTTCGTTGCCCGGGCGGTGTGTTTGGGATCATTGTCATGCTGAAAGACCCAGCCACGTTTCATCTTCAATGCCCTTGCTGATGGAAGGAGGTTTTCACTCAAAATCTCACGATACATGGCCCCATTCATTCTTTCCTTTACACGGATCAGTCGTCCTGGTCCCTTTGCAGAAAAACAGCCCCAAAGCATGATGTTTCCACCCCCATGCTTCACAGTAGGTATGGTGTTCTTTGGATGCAACTCAGCATTCTTTGTCCTCCAAACACGACGAGTTGAGTTTTTACCAGAAAGTTCTATTTTGGTTTCATCTGACCATATGACATTCTCCCAATCCTCTTCTGGATCATCCAAATGCACTCTAGCAAACTTCAGACGGGCCTGGACATGTACTGGCTTAAGCAGGGGGACACGTCTCGCACTGCAGGATTTGAGTCCCTGGCGGCGTAGTGTGTTACTGATGGTAGGCTTTGTTACTTTGGTTCCAGCTCTCTGCAGGTCATTCACTAGGTCCCCCCGTGTGGTTCTGGGATTTTTGCTCACCGTTCTTGTGATCATTTTGACCCCACGGGGTGAGATCTTGCGTGGAGCCCCAGATCGAGGGAGATTATCAGTGGTCTTGTATGTCTTCCATTTCCTAAAAATTTCTCCCACAGTTGATTTCTTCAAACCAAGCTGCTTACCTATTGCAGATTCAGTCTTCCCAGCCTGGTGCAGGTCTACAATTTTGTTTCTGGTGTCCTTTGACAGCTCTTTGGTCTTGGCCATAGTGGAGTTTGGAGTGTGACTGTTTGAGGTTGTGGACAGGTGTCTTTTATACTGATAACAAGTTCAAGCAGGTGCCATTAATACAGGTAACGAGTGGAGGACAGAGGAGCCTCTTAAAGGAGAAGTTACAGGTCTGTGAGAGCCAGAAATCTTGCTTGTTTGTAGATGATCAAATACTTATTTTCCACCATAATTTGCAAATAAATTCATAAAAAATCCTACAATGTGATTTTCAGGATTTTTTTTCCCTCATTATGTCTGTCATAGTTGACGTATACCTATGATGAAAATTACAGGCCTCTCTCATCTTTTTAAGTGGGAGAACTTGCACAATTGGTGGCTGACTAAATACTTTTTTCCCCCACTGTATGTTAATCTGTAGGAGATACTCTATTATGTTAATCTGTAGGAGATACACTATTATGTTAATATGTAGGATATAGTATATTATGTTAATCTTTAGGAGATACTCTATTATGTTAATCTTTAGGAGATACTCTATTATGTTAATCTGTAAGAGATACTCTATTATGTTAATATGTAGGAGATACTATATTATGTTAATCTGTAGGATATACTGTATTATGTTAATCTGTAATAGATACTCTATTATGTTAATCTGTAGTAGGTACTCTATTATGTTAATCTGTAGGATATACTCTATTATGTTAATCTGTAGGATATACTCTATTATGTTAATCTGTAGTAGATACTATATTATGTTAATATGTAGGATATACTATATTATGTTAATCTGTCGGAGATACTCTATTATGTTAATCTGTAGGATATACTCAATTATGTAAATCTGTAGGAGATACTCTATTATGTTAATCTGTAGGATAGACTCTATTATGTTAATCTGTAGGATATACTCTAGTATGTTAATCTGTAGGATATACTCTATTATGTTAATCTGTAGGAGAGACTCTATTATGTTGATCTTTAGGTTATACTCTATTATGTTAATATGTAGGATATATTCTATTATGTTAATCTGCAGTATATACTCTATTATGTTAATCTGTAGGAGAGACTCTATTATGTTGATCTGTAGGATATAGTCTATTATGTTAATCTGTAGGAGATACTCTATTATGTTAATCTGTAGGTGATACTCTATTATGTTAATCTGTAGGATATTGTCAGAGCTGGCGTAGGGGTGGTGTGGAAATCAGATGCAGGATGCAGAAGTAGTCCAAAATACTTTAATCAAGTCCACAGAATGAACGGCTACAAACAGAGCCGGAGGCACAAGAAAAATAACGCACTCAGCGTAATAAACCAAACACGCACAATAGTGCGGACTCTCTACAGAAATAGAGCATAAACTTGACATGGAAACACCTGCTGACAATGAACAACTACACACAACCACAAGACAGAAACAACGAGAACTTAAAGGACACATAATCAAGACAAAATGAGAAACAGGTGTACCAAAACAGACCAAACCAAACGAACACAGAAACAACGAATGGTGGCAGCTAGTACTCCGGGGACGACGACCGCCGAAGCCTGCCCGAACAAGGAGAAGGAGCAGCCTCGGCAGAAACCGTGACAGATATACTCTATTATGTTAATCTGTAGGAGATACTCTATTATGTTAATCTGTAGGAGATACTCTATTATGTTAATCTGTAGGTGATACTCTATTATGTTAATCTGTAGGAGATACTCTATTATGTTAATCTGTAGGAGATACTCTATTATGTTAATCTGTAGGATATACTCTATTGTGTTAATCTGTAGGATATACTCTATTATGTTAATCTGTAGGAGATACTCTATTATGTTAATCTGTAGGAGATACTCTATTATGTTAATCTGTAGTAGATACTCTATTATGTTAATCTGTAGGATATACTATATTATGTTAATCTGTAGGAGATACTATATTATGTTAATCTGTAGTAGATACTCTATTATGTTAATCTGTAGGATATACTCTATTATGTTAATCTGTAGTAGATACTCTATTATGTTAATCTGTAGGATATACTATATTATGTTAATCTGTAGGAGATACTCTATTATGTTAATCTGTAGGAT